GCATCGCTACTAGGAGCAAGGACGCTACTAGGGGCTCCTGGCCTTACCACTAGTAACAAGGCTACTAGGGGCTCCTGGCATCGCTACTAGCAGCAAGGACGCTACTAGGGGGTCCTGGCCTTACTACCAGTAACAAGGACGCTACTAGGGGCTCCTGACCTTACTACTAGTAACAAGCTCCTGGCATCGCTACTAGGAGCAAGGACGCTACTAGGGGCTCCTGGCCTTACTACCAGTAACAAGGACGCTACTAGGGGCTCCTGACCTTACTACTAGTAACAAGCTCCTGGCATCGCTACTAGGAGCAAGGACGCTACTAGGGGCTCCTGGCCTTACTACTAACAACGAGGTTGGTGTCAATTCACTTCCTCCAGGCCAAGCTCTCGTATGCTGTGGTCCTGCCTGATTTCGGGTCCATGGGCCGTCCCGTGATCAAGCTCAAGAGGCGGGTCCTGGTTGAAACCGAACCTGCGTTGCAATTGAAAAGGCCGAGCTCAAAAGCTGGCCGTTGTGCAGTGACAACAAGTTGCTTTTATGAGGACCAATTCATCTTCAGAGACGTTCTATCTTGCTTCAAAACCCCTCCTTTGTTCTCCACCATACATTTTTGGAGGCGCGACAACGCGAGGGACATTGCTCTAGCGGAAGCTTCTCGAGCTTGGTGACCCAGCGGAGGAAGTTGAAAGCAAGGCCAATAACCGATGAAATACTCAGGGCAATGACTACAGGCCGGAGATTGTATGACGAGTATTTAGGTATTCATTAACTTTGTATGTTTGAACAACTGTTGCTGGCCGAGGTGTTTGCCATGGCCTGTGCTGCGGTCCCTGAGCGCCACGGGCGCAGCTTGGCGGGCTCGCAGGTGAATGGGCCCGGAATGTTGAGATACTGAGAGAATGGCCCAATAGCAATGGCCTCCAACCTACTAGCGATGGCCTGGCCTCAAACCTAATAGCAATGGCCTCCAACCTACTAGCGATGGCCTGGCCTCAAACCTAATAGCAATGGCCTCCAACCTACTAGCGATGGCCTGGCCTCAAACCTAATAGCGATGACCTCCAACCTAATAGCGATAATAGCGATGGCCTCCAACCTAATAGCGATGGCCTCCAACCTAAGCAATGGCCTCCAGCCTAGTAGCGATGGCCTCCAACCGATAGATGATAGCCGATGAAAACAATCGGCCAGAAGATTGCGCATTTTGTTTCTCTACTTGCACTTGGGATGACCACTGTCCAAGACAAACTTCCTGTTGAGGTGCCGCTGATCCTTACCTCTGCAGTTTTTGCACGCCTGTGCGATGCGGATGGAGAAGAGTTGGTGTCTTGGCAGTGACATGCTGGGTCAAAGGTGTCTCCTACTTGGCTGTAGAGAGACAGGACATCAGTATCGACCTACACCTTCGACGCATCTTGAATTCAGCGCAAGCAAATTGTAGAACCTGTCGAACCCAACACACACTACTTACTGGAGTGGCACTTTGTTTCAATGCTTGGGGACTCTCCTACTTGCCTGAATGATTGCTGATGGACTTGGCTTCCAAAACAATGCTTTGACGTCCCAACATTGTGCGGGTTTCAGCCCGTAGACGTAGCCCATTGCATACCAAGGACATGCACGACCGGCTTGAGGTTTTTTTGCTTGCAGCCCAGACTTAGAGACTCCTTTATTAATACTTGTTGCTTCATACATATAGGCTGAATCGCTGGTCCAATGCGTCTGCAAAACACGGAAATTGTCTTGATGCCATTGGTGAAGATGGTAGAAGAATCACTTTTTGAAGGTCCATGCTGGGCTTCCTCCAAACCACCAAATCCGCTACCAACAGTTGGCTTTAACATGTGTTGACTTGCAGCCTACTGAGCTCTAGAATATCAAGAACATCCTCAGTGGCCCAGGCCGTGTCACAGCTTGGCCTTGAAAGAGCTCACAACGGCTCCGTCACTCTGGAGCTTTCAAGAAGACTTGGCTGAGCCTTTTGTCGGCA